AATATATATGTAGGTTTTGAATATTTACAAGGAGTAATGTCAAGTAAAAATAAGACCAAAATCAATTAAGAATGTTCTAGATTAAGATTTATAGTTGTCTTAGTTTTGTTTATCAGTTGATAAAAAGAGAGAAAAATTATTCTTAATTAAAAAAAGGGCTACAGACGTTGCAAAATAAAAAAATAATCAAACAAACTATATATTCCGACAATAAACAAAAAAGACATATTTGTCCCAAGGTAAAAAAAATTAACTTCTTTGAAATTCAATGTTGATTTTTCTATTTATTTACCTCGTAAATAAGAACATAAATAAGACCCTACGTACAAAAATTCCTCCTCTGACAGAGCCTTATAAAATCTCCTTTACCACTCCACAATTTGAAATGCCATTTATTGATTATATCTATGGCACGCCAAATTCACAAAAATGAGATAAATCTAGTTTTATAATTGATAAACTAGGTTTATCGACTGTAAACTATAGTTTACAAACCGTAAACTATAGTTAACGATTCGTTAAGACTTAGTATAGTTAACGATTCGATAGTATATTTTCCATCTGTAAAACTATATTTAACGGTCGTTAACTATAGTTTACGAATGCTAATCTAAGTTTTTCTGTCTGAATAAAGCGTTAACAATAGATTTTGTTGATGAACTATAGTTTACAATCGTAAACTATAGTTAAGAGTTGTTAATCATAGCTTCACAAATCGTGAAACTACATTTATCGGATCGTTAACTATAGTTAACGGTTTGTAAACTATAGTTTACAAATCGTGAAACTGTATTTATCATATAATCTATGTTTTGCAATCGCAAATGATTGTTTTCGATGTTAAGTATAGTTTACGGTTGTAAAACATAGATTATCGCGTTAATTATGGTTTACAGAAGTGAAATATAGATTAACGTTGTTAACTATAATTTCGATCCGTAAACTTTAGTTTACAGCCGATAAACCTAGTTTATCGATTGTGAAATTATGATTATCTCATTTTTGTGAATTTGGCGTGCCATATTATACAATTATGGACTTCAGTGTAGGTCGATATGTGGTTATAAGGACTCATGGCAATTGATATTGACCGAAGACACAGAAAGTGATAACGACCGAGCCTGAGAGTAAGTGTAGTAATTATTTTTAAAAAATACATTCTTTTATATCCTGTTTAAAATAAGTTTTATGCAGAACTGTTTTTGAAATCAAATAAACGGTCTCTAAGTAACGTCACGCAGTGGGATTCTGAACCCTCAAGTAAGAATCACCTTCCTACTACTTGACTCAACTTATAGCAAAATGTCTAACTGCTTCGCAATGCTGGTGACTAAATTAATAACAGGAACAAATTAAAATCCACAGTTTCAAGCAATGCTTTCGAAAGATATATTTTCTTTTCTTACACCCAATTATTAGTTAAGTTTTAACTATTGTAAAATAATTTTAATTTGTGAATTTTTGTTTCTAAACAAGAAAAAAAAATTAGTTTGTGAGGACGTAATTTCGTGGGTAACTTGTATTCATAGAAGATTCAAATAATCAATATGTTAAACTTTTTGCGGGGATGAACTTCGTAGATAAGGATGACCACGAAATCCACGAACACCCCCCCCCCCCCCCCCCGAAAAAAAAAAAAAACAAAAAAAAAACAAAAAAAAACAGACAAATCCACAGTACATGTACATGTACTTCTAAAATAAGCTTCATGTACTTAATCTAAAAAAATCAAATAAATAACAGTAAACTCAAACATGTCAAAAATAAATTCATTTCGAACTAAGATTGCTTTGCTATTTGACGCGTAAAACAAAGACACATCTCAACATTATAGGTACATCGTATATATGTCTTTGGAAATTTACTGTGATAATATTTTACTGTTACCAATTTATTAGGTAAAGGTACTTAGACACAGATTTGAAGTTATTATTTTCTCTATAATATTACGACTTATATATTTTAATAGCATTTCACACAAAAATTAATTAAAAATCCTATTTCATATAAATATATGAAAATTTCAAATTTTTTGGCGGGTTTGATTGACACATCCTTGCACTTTTATAAATTAATTTTATTCTTAATCCTTAGGAAAAGTGGCAATCTCGTTGTGTATAAATGAAAAATATTAATACTATAATCCAGAAAATTCAGAGTAGACATGTTCGAAAGCAAAACAAACACACAATATATTGTCAGTCCGTGCAGTTGTGGTTAGCAGACTGTGACGATTTAGAACGCACCCAGTGAATTCTAAATATAAACAATAACAGAACTCGTGCCCTGTTTACAAAAACTGTGAACATAACACGACTGTGCTCGATTTGCTAAACCCTTTATGCAACTTTTAGTTCGGAATGACAATGCTTGTGAAGGAGTTTTGCTTTCTAACATCTCTACTCTGAATAAAATTATTTTTCTGGATTAAAGTTTAAATATTTCTCATTAATACACAACAAGATTGCCACTTTTCCTAAGGATTAAGAATAAGGTTAAAATTTGTGAAAGTGCAAGCATGTGTCAATCAAACCCACCGAAAAATTTGAAGTTTTAAAAACTTTTAAATGAAATAAGATATTTAATTAATTTTTGTGTGATGCTATTAAAATATATAAGTCGTAATATTATAGAGAAAATAATAACTTCAAATCTGTGTCCAAGTACCATTAATTCAATCAAAACTTAATATTTACCCCTTACTATTAATATTTTGCTACATGTATACAATGTATGTGCATGGTACATGTATATATACAAACAATGGATGCTTGTATAATCAAAGAGTTAGTCGATAATCCATTTGTGCATATCTTAAATAATATTGACAAAACACGCACAAGAATTAACTACTCTGGGAAACTAACGAAAACACAAAAACGTACATTAATATGCACCTTGTAAATATAAAAAATGATTTATTCAAAATAAAATTCACGATTTTTTCTTAAAAGTTTTTTTTCAAGTATGTAGATATAGAAGTTAGTGTTGAATAAACGTGTAACTATTTAAAAAAAATGATTCATGCATTAAGCGAAGTACATGTACGTATATTTTTCATATCAGCCAACTTATGAGGGCTGTTCAATAAATAATGTCCTGAACTCTATAAAATACAATACATATATCATATGACATTAAGCTCGACTTTCTATTATGACTGAATCTTTAATGAATTATTGTCAGTTTATTTGACCACTTTTTATCTTATATTTTCATTGTAAGAAGCTGGAAAACAAGAGATATGCGAGGCACTACATTAAAAATGAATGGTAAAGAATCAGTAAACAAGAGTGAAAATAATTGGAAAACTTGATAAGAATCCCAAAGAAATATTCACTGAAATTTGTGAAGTTTACAGTAACAACATATGGCTGTTTTAAAGACATATAAGCAGATGGATTTCAATTAACAGTAATGATATATAATGGGCATCAAAAATGGGTACCGTCCTTGGCGACAAGGACTTATGATAACCAATGCTCTATTTGCCAAAATTCAACAAAGTATTACCTATGATGTTTGATGAGTTCAACACACATAGCAAATTTAATAAGCATCAATTTGGAAGTAGTTCACACCTTTTGAGAGAAATATTTGACAGTAAAAACGCTAATTGCTCAATGTTCACCCTATGCTTTGAATAATTAGTGAAAACGACATCGTTTAAGAATATTTAAACAATTATTTTAAAAATCAGAAATTGTAATTATCCACGTGTGTCTAAAATTCAAACAGACAACTACACTTGAATCCATTGATTTATTAGCCTCAAAACATTAATTTTTAAAATTTACAATAATATGCAATTGACAGAAACAGCAAATATCTGAGAAGAGCAAAGAATTGGAAGAGGACAATGACATTTTTATATGCCATTTTCTTAAATATTAGTGGTCTTGTTGTTCAAATTTTTATTTGAGAAGGCTGTCAGAAAAATCGAAAGGTTTTTTAGAAGAAGGAACTAGAATCAGAAACATTGACTTTGGAATACATGTACACCACATTAAATTAAGTTTTGGGACAAACCGAAAGGCAATTTTTTTTGTCACACATCAACAATTGCCAGATCTATCACCCTTTGACTTGGTTCATTTTCCAAACTTAAAAACACCTTTCAAAAAGAAGAAACAAGTCCAGGAAATCATAGGATATGCCATAATCCAATACACGAAGGGCCATACTCAAAAATGAGTGCAAACAAACAATCAGAAATTAGAAAAAAATATTACGAACATGTGTTTTAATTCAAAGAGAATATCTAAATTAAATCATTAAGACTTAATCATTGAAATGCGTCTTGTGCTTCTTTTTGATCACCGAGGATATTATTTAATATTTACACTCAGTTATAGGAATTTTATGAATGAAACATATTTACACAAGACATGTGACTTTTTTTTCCATTTAAGGAATGAAGCTAATTTCAACTTATGTTATACGATATAACATAATTTGGGGCAGTTTACGCTTTATAAACCGCGAAGCGGTTTATAAAAAAGCGTAAACTGCCCCAAGTTATGTTATATCGTATAACATAAGTTGAAATTAGCTTCATTCCTTATAATTTAATTTCAGTATAGACAATAAGACAATTTTCCCTCCAGAATAAGGCTTCAAATTGAGCATTATTTTAAAAGTAACGTCAAGCGGAGTGATACGTTTTTGACGTAACTCATTGTGAAGTAGGCAAGTTATGTTATCCAAAATATTATATGTTCCTCTGAATGATTCAGCCAATGAAATAGCTTGATACAAGTGAAATTAAATTATTTCTGCATACTTTAGAGTAAATCATACACGGTACCCGTGTAGATGCACCAGATGCACATTTTGACAAATTATTCCTCTTCATTGAGGCTCATGCCGAAACGTTGAAAATCTAGGTGAAAAAACTTAAAAAACCAGAAGAAATAGGTGTCAAAGACTGGAGCCAAACTCGTCTGATGATAAAAGAGATGCTGCACGAGGGAGATTATCCTTAGATTTAAAACAAATATCTAATCCCACACAAAAGGTTTTCTTAATTTGGAAGGACACTTATATTTACACTTTTCAAGTGTCTTCGTATTGTTATCTCTTGGGGAATTAGTATAAAATGCGGTGAATTCAAAATCACCAAATTTGTTGACCGTTTCATAATCTCTTATACTATTTTCAAAAAATGTTGTTAATTTAAATAATATATCTCTGTTTGTATTTTGGTTTTCTTTCAACTTTCTGTGTTTTTCACTACATCTATAGAATTCTAAAACAAAGGTAGCATCATCCAACTCTTCTTTTGATCGTTCAAGTGATTTTTTAACCTGTCTGAGATACTTAATTCTGTCGCCGTTTGATTCTGCATTCTTTCTCAAAGTCTGTTTTTGTTCTTTAGCTTTGGCAGACAGGTTATCAAGATAATCATTTTTCAGCTGTTTGATGTGATTTTTGACTTTAGAAAACAAAGATTCAGATGCTTCCAATACCTCCCCTGTTTTGGCTTCTATTTGTGAAATGTTTTCCTCTTGTTTACTTTGTGTACTCTTGAATTCGTCTTCCAGTTTTATCAATTCTTTAACAAGATTATCAAACTCGCCCTTTCGTATTCTTTCTGCCGACTCCTTTACAGTTTCTATTTTGTCACATTTTCTATGTTCAACACAAATACACATTGTGCAGCAAGGAACAGAATGATCCAAACAAAGAAATTCTATTGTTCTCTCTTCATGTTTAGGGCATTGCTCTTTGTTTCTGGTTTTCACAGGTGACAGCTTCAATTCTTTTAAAGATGTAACCTTGTGGTCCTTGGTCAGCGAAATACGCCTGTGGTATTTAGTACACATATCACAGAGTCTCTCTTTACATTCATAACAATATCTACTAGCTTCACTTTCCTCCTCGTCCCTTTTGCATGTATCACAAAAATTTTCGTTTTCTTGATTTCTGGATACTTCGTTTAGGATTTCATTCACGGGGAACTGACTCGCCCAATTTATTGGTTTACTTAAAAAGTTTTCCACCGGAATGAAGTTTCGGCACAACGGACAATGGAATCCTACAGGAGTTTCTTTAGAATTACTCGTAGATACGATATGGTTCAACAAACATTCATGACAAAATGAGTGTGAACACGGTAAATACCTTGGTGTTTTAAAATGTTCAAAACAAATTGAGCATTTTGAGAAGTCACTACAGTGAACCTGAAGCTCTTCTGAAGATGATGCCATTTTATGCATACACGTAGCGATCCACACTGTCTAACCACCTTCTGTTTTTTCAAGAACGGAACATATTCTACCACAGACACGTACGACTGTTCCTGTTGACGTGACGAATGCACCCTCGTCGTGGATATAATATATCCTTTCCTTTATGTTGCCCTTCAGCTATCAATTTAACAGTTCGTGGTTGTTAACTTTTGTTGAAATTAAGTCCTACTCGGTGCATTTTAATTTTGCGAATACTGCGGATTGAATAAGGTATTGAAGGTAAATTTTCCAAGGTAATTGAAAGTCTTTAAAAATCGATAATTATTTAAGTGAACTGACAAGTTTTTATATTTAGTTTTATTTACTATGCAGTTTATATTTCGATCAATACTTAAAAATAGAAAAAAAACCCCAAATGAATAGAGGTTTAACATCAGTTTTCTACAACAGTGTATTTGTTTGTGCTTTTCATTTGATACAAACATTAACTCACACAAAAAAAAAATAATTAGACATTTTCGTAGTTACTAGACAAAGTGCATTCATCATACCATTTCTAAGCAATATCACACCATACTTGTTTGCTCCTTCAAAGCAATTTTTAATGACTATAAGATTCAAGGAGACATGAAAATCCTAAAAATAAGCAAATACAGCATGCATTTACAACTTGCAGGTGCTGTATGGAAGGCTATACGTACACAACTTACACGTAATGTTCCTTGAATTGTAATGCAATAATTAGCATTTCTTTTTCTGTATTTTTCTCCTTACTCGCGCTGTGGGTGGAATAATTTAGAATGAATAGAGGGCAGCATAAGCATGCGTATTGTTTATGATATTGATGACCATTCATGTAGAGTTTGTCGTCTTAATTTCAAGTGTAATATTTAAAGATTAAAAGGTTGGTAGGATCAAGTTATCAACTAACATTATCAAGTCATAATAGTAAATGATACATTTAGAAGGCAAACATATAATTCTCAGGGGGTTCCAGGTGATCCTTTCATTTTTTATCAATTTATGATGAAATTTCGGATGAAATTTCAGTAGATAGCGTTAATAATGATGAAGTAGAAAAAAGTATTCCATTCGTCATACAAGATCATAATTATAAGAAGTACGTATACACACTCTGCTTCTCCACACCTTTGCTGATTTTGTTTAAACAATGTAATGCGATACTCCAAAAAAAAAAAGGAAAACTATCTTAAAGTGGATTACCACCTTACTTTTCCGATAATATCTCGTCAAAGATTCAAAAATACGCTCCAATGATATATAGACTTGACAGCGGGATATTTGTAAGCTTTGAGAAAATAGAAATGAAAAGCCTATCTTTCTCATTAAAAATTGGAGCATTTAAACAAACATTGAGCATGCTGATAGAAAATTAAAATGAATTTGAGTATCTTTCTGATAGTGAGTATACATTTTGAATGTCTATACATTTTAAAGGAGGGGGCTATTTGAATCATTTGCAAATCAACTTTTTTTTTTAATGTTTTGATATTAAATTTTATAACGCTATTTTGAATTCAATAAAGCATTTTTCCCTTTCCATGAAAGATTGATCGATTGATTGTATATTGTTTAACGTCCCTCTTGAGAATTTTTCACTCATATGGAGACGTCACCGTATGCCGGTGAAGGGCTTCAAACTTAGACCTATACTCGGCACTCAGGGCCATTGAGCAGTGAGGGTTCTTTATCGTGCCAGCGCCTACCGTGACACGGGACCTACGTTTTTAAGGTCATATCCGAAAGACCCGTGACTTTCACTTCTAGTGCCGAGCGCTTGGCGAAGGAACAGTCACTACCTTTGTTTACGTCTTAGGTATGACGCGGCGTCGCGAACGAGAATCGAACCCAGGCCTCCCGATCACGAAGCGAACGCTCTACTACTAGGCTACCGTGACCGGTTTCCATGAAAGAGAAAGAAAGCATATATTATTATTATTTTATTATAATAATTTATGAATCTTTATCGGTGGAGGATGAACAGAACTTAAATCATATATAAATGTATTAAGCAAACCTCACTTTACACTTTTTCATTCATGGAGTATGTCAAGAAATACAAGTCTTTCAAATTAAAATAGATTTTTAAAAAATCTTTTACAAGCTATTTAATTGCTAGAGTTCTATGTATGAATTTTTATTTAAAAAAAGATAACATTTCAAGACTATTTCTATGAGCTTTTTTTTCAATCAGTTTATTGTATGGGTACACCTTCAAACTACAACTGCAAATGTACCACTCACAAAGACCCCGGATGTGAATTCAACGACAACAGTTACCCCAGTCAGCAAGAGCGCAGATGTACATGCGACGAAAGCAAATGCACCAATCACTGAGAGCCCGGATGTATATTCAACGGAAGCAAATTCACCAATCACTGAGAGCCCGGATGTATACTCAACGGCAGCAAATGCACCAATCACTGAGAGCCCGGATGTATATTCAACGGAAGCAATAGCACCAGTCACTGAAAGTCCAGATGTATATTCAACGGAAGCAAATGCACCAGTCACTGAGAGCAGTGTAAATTTACCGTCGGATAAAACACCAGCAGTCGACAGCACAGAGTTTGTTAACGGAAGCATTTCGACCATTTCCATTGAAATCATTGGATTGATCAACGGTAAACTCTCTTGGGTTCAAGATCAAGTACATCTGACATTGCTGAGAGATTACATGATCTTCTGTCCAAATCAGGACATGTGTCTGGGAGAGGAAATACGAAATAACGTTAACATTTCCAAGAAACAAGCTTGCACTACCTGCAGTTGCAGCGATGAATGTTTTAAAACATACAATTGCTGTCCCTCAAAAGACCTAGAGAATATCCGGTCAATGATTGAAAGAAACACTGGAGAAAGATTGAGGAATTCTTCACTGTCGTGTTCTGCATCGGAAATAGAAGGAATCAGAAGTACAACTAAACAGGTTACGAAGTATTGGATGATGACGTCGTGCCCCTCAAATTATCCTGAAAATGATATTCACAAAAAATGTACACAAGAAGCTCACCTCATGGCACCAGACATTTCCTTTCACAGACCAGTCACGTCCTATGTCACTGCCGTTACCTATAAAAATATATATTGTTCACTGTGTAATGGTGAAGAGAGACAAAATACTTCGGGTTGGAAAATGTTCGTGAAATCTCAATTAGATGACCTAGCTGGCGTCTCTGATATTGAAAAGTCTGATGAAGAAATTTACAAATTCTTCATGCAGAACATCACTGATTTTGATATTGTTTTTGAACCTTCGAAGTCCGCGAAAGATATCGTCCAAAAATGTTACTCTGAATATATATCAACCTGCAACGTTACTGGTGTATGGAGAAACTTCGACCAAGTCATCATGAAAGCGTGTGAAAATCTTGATTTCATATCCGTATTTACCGACTGCAATAAACTTTACAAGAATGTTTACTGTGCCATCTGCAATACACAGCGTCCGTATCAGAATCTTAGCTATGAATGCCCCGGGTCAATCCAGGAATATGCAAGGAACAAGGATAACGATTCTGTTAATGTGCATTTTTCATCTCATAATCCTAAACCATTTCCTCACAAATACAGCGTAAAATGCGACCCCGGTGAAATTTACGATCCAAAAAAGGTAACTACAAAGACCATTATATAGTATAAAAAAGTATATTTTCTAACAAGGTTAGATCACTTGCCATGAGAGAGAGAGAGAGAGAGAGAGAGAGAGAGAGAGAGAGAGAGAGAGAGAGAGAGAGAGAGAGTTTCTGATTATGTACCCATCAATCAAAAATCATTTTTTAAAAACCTACTGTAGAAGAAACAAAATCAAATATATACAAATGTATTGAAGTTTTCTGATTTAATCATTGAGATTGACCTCTTCATTTTAGAGATCTTGTCTGAAGACTGTATGCGAGCTTGGTTTCAGACAAATTGGACCGAAGTGCGAGGTCAAGATAAAAGAGGCTAACGAAGCAACCTACGTCCTTAACACTTTAACTTGCAGCGACGGCATCCCGATCTTGTCGTATTTTAAAAGACTTCCAATTGAAGACAACGAATACGTCTGCTCCATATGTGGGACTGAACAGCATTTTCCAGTTAAAAAGACGGAGTGGAAAAAATGTCAACCATTATCGATATGGTATAAGGTGTCTCATCCACATCGAGTTGATTTTATGATGGAATATTTATACAACTTGCACCGAGGACGAACCTATGTCAACAAAGAAAATTATACTATGTACACGGCCTTTCATCCAAATATGACTGCTTATGTCAATTCTCCCCGATTTCTTAACCCGTTCTCTATGATCCAATTCCCCATCGATCGCTGTTTGGAATGTTCTAAATCTCGCGCTCTCACATTTTCCTTGGCAAAATGGCAGACATGTCCGAGAGTTCTCGTGGAAACTTTTAGAATGTATATACTCCACGATAAACTTTTGTTTTGCTTCAAAGAGTATGACGCCTGTATTAGCCATTCGTATGTTAGAGTTTCGGACGATTTGCAGTTTATCGGGGTGTGCATACATCAGTACTTACAAGCGATTAGAAATACTTATACTGGCGTCAAGGAAGACACTAGGGGCGAAACAGTTTTCATCATTTGTCTCTTAATCTCTCTGTTAGCATGTTTGCTTCATTCGATATCCACCGTTTTCTTGATAGAAGAATGGACACCTCTTATTCTCTGCCAAATGGCTCAGTCTTTTTCCTACTTTGCTTTGAATTTTTTCCTTATTTTGACGAAACTAGTTTTTCTGGGTGAGATATTTTGTGCTGTGTTTGGAATGGTGATACATTTCCTTTTCCTTCTTGTCGCAGGTTGGTCTAGCGTTGTCTGTGTCGATTTAGCTCGTGCAATCCATATGTTGTTGTCGTCTGGGGTACGAATCAAGATGAGGCTATCACGATTTGTAACTTATGCTGCCATAAATTTTACGGTTTGTCTTCTTTTCGTTATTTTTAACGCATTCATCATAAATGATTATGAAAACGATTCTTTTTTGGGA